CATCTCCTCTTGCTCTTATGTTGTGGATGCTTATACAGAAATCACTTGTGGGAGAGTAGGGGCTAAATGAACAAGTTATTCGTTCACATACACAGAGAAACACATTGACCAATGCACCAATCTGTGGAAATGTGGACGAGGTTGTGGTGCTTCTGGCTTGCTGAATTTGGAAAGCTGCCTCAACCGTGTACAGGAAGAACAAGGGGGTGAGCCTGTGAGCGCCTGGTCAGCATTCAAAGAACCCAGAAGTCACCGGGAAATCTATTGGGGAGACCAGATGTCTGCTGGGCCTCTGAATCTTCCTGTTTGACGCCAGGATGATTTCCCAGAGATGGGTTCAGACGTGTCCCAGAGTGGCTCTAGCTACGTGGATTAAAACGAGGCAAACATCACCAATTCAGTGTGGCTGGCTTTAAGGGTCTGAAAGGTGTTCTTGGACAGAGACCATATAGCTGGATGCACTTGGCTGCTGATACCAGCATAGCCCAGTGGCCTTCCTGCTGTTTGTAGTGGTTTTCTTGGGACTTGGAATGGGGCAGGATGGGAGTGGGGGGTGGGGGAGGGGTCAGGCCTCAGTGGATTTTGTTTTGTTTTGCTTTTTTCTCCCTTCCTGTTTTTGGCTCATATAGCAAGCTGATGGTAAATGTTGAGCAATTTATTTAACCACACTATTCCTCAGCTTCCTTATTAGCAATGCTGTCTTGTTTATAAGCAGTTGTGAAATCTTTGCAAGCACACAAAATGTTGGTATGAGTACCCAAAATAGAGGTCTTGTTTCTAACCTGCTTACTATCTTTCCAGTGGTGGCAACTGCCCACATCAGACTCGTTTGGAGCGGTGGTTACAGTGCAGAGCCCTGGCCGCCCATACCACATGGTCTGTGCGTGGCTGGTTGTTGGATGCATGTCCTCAATCTCAGCACCAAGAGGCCTGAGCCCATGTGGGCTGCATAGCCAGACCCTGGCACAAAACAGATCTCCTCAGGTGAATCTGATGCACTTGGGAGTATCACTCTGAGGGCCTCTGTTTTTCGGTAGCCCTGAGATTGAATTCAGATGGTTTAATCACTTTTTTAAAAAAATTCCCTGGTGTCTCCCAGGATTTGCTGGACTAACCCAGTTGTGACTTTTCCCTGGAGCTACTGCACATTGTGATTCATTTGTTCCTTAAAAGAAACACCTTCAGCTTATTTTGACTTTCCTGTCCTTGGAATGTAGGTGACCTGGAGGGATATTGAGGACTCAAGGTCCCTAATAGTGGGTGGCATGAAATGAATATTGCAGCTTCCCGAGAGAAAAGCATGAAGTGGGGGTGCAGTGCACCTGCTGCCTGCTTTCCGACAAGTGCTGGGCTTCCCCTAGGAGCCCCGGGCTCAGCTCCTGTGATTTGACCACTGATTTGTTTTTGACCCTGGGAAAACCAGTCAGTCTTTCCACCAGTCCCGTCCCCCCGCCACCTGTGCAGTCTGCCCTGTCCCTATTCTCCAGACCCAGTTCCCAAGGGGCCACATGCCCTGCAGCAGGGGCGCGTACCAGGCAGTGGTGGCCCTGGGTCACGGACAGCAGCCACCCTTCCGATTGGAGAGAAGCAAAGAGGGGCCCCTTCCTTGGGGCTCAGAGCTGGGCAGGGTGCACTGGCCCGTGGGGGTGCTGGGGGGTGCTGGAGGGTGCTGTGGCTGCCGCAGTGCTGTCAGAGGGACTGCAGGGGACTGCAGAGTTCAGGTCTCTCTGCTCCCACCTGGGAGAAAAAGACAGACCCGACTCCAGCCTTGCCGACCTGCCCAGCCCGGGACGCGCCTGACCTCATGGCGTTGCCACCCCCTGGGCCACCTCTCCTGGGCGTGTCTCGATCTCCAGCCCAGTTACTAGTTTTTGTGTTACTGCAAAACCAATTAAACTAATTATACAAGCACAGCGGCTTGCACAACGCATGCTCATGCCTCGTTGTCCACTGGGCAGGTGCCCGGCAAGCTTGAGCCATCGGCGCACCCGTCCCTGCCCGGCGTCCACGTGTCAGCGGGGCCTCCCTCTCCCTCTGGGCAGGCTCTGGGCAGCCACAGGGCTCACGAAGCTTTCTTCTCCCAGCCCAGCAGTGGATCTCTGCAGGGCAGCACGCAGACTAATCAAGACACAATAGAGGCTCTCGGAGATTAGAGGATTTTGTACCCACAGAGATGGCAGTTATAAAAATAAGAATCTGAAAGACAGACAGAAAAGTGTTGGCGAGGATGGGGAGGAATTGGAACCCCTTGCACTGCTGGGGGAGGTGTAAAATGGTGTGGCTGCTATTGATGAGAGTTTGTGGCTACTTAAAATATTAAAGCAGCATTGTGTGTGATTCCATAACCCCAGAACAGGGAAAGCAGGGACTCAAAACATGTACCTTCATACCCACGTTCATAACAGCATTATTCACAGCCTCCAAAATACAGAAACACCCCATGGATGTGAACTGATGAATGGGTAAAGAAAGTGTGATATATACACCCAGTGGAATATTATTCAGCCTTGAAAAGGAGGGGAAATTTGACCCCATGCCTCAGCATGCACCTTGAAAACTATACTAGGTGAAATAAGCCAGGCACAATGGCACAATGAACAAATATGTTAACATTTCCACTTACATGAAGTGTATCAGAGTAGTAAAAATCAGAGAAAAGTAGAAAGGTTTCAGGGGCTGGATAGGCAGAGAAACGAGTTATTGTTTAAGGGACACAGAGTTCGAGTTTTGCATAATGAAAAAATTCTAGGGGTAGACAGGGGTGGTGGCTGCTGAATGGTGTAAACACACTAAATGCCACCACACTGCATGTTTAAAAATGGTTACTGTGGTAAATCTTACACTGTACATTTTACAACAGAATCAGTAAAGAGATGGAGAAAAACGGGCCAAGGAGATGAACAGGAAGAACAGAACAGGCAGGGTACAAGCGAGCAGGCTGGGAGAAATGTTCAGTGCTGCTCGTCAGCAGAGATGGAAATCTGGGAGTGACACGGAAGGCCCGTCTCTCGTGCAGTGGGCAGTGGGTGCTAAGGGTCCCACAGAAAGTCTGGCCTAGGGTTCGGGTCCCAACACATCCGCCTGTCTGCTGCTGCTCTTCACCTCCCTGGAGCAGGTGTTTATTCTACTCCAGTGCTTCAGACAGCAGGTTCTGAACATTCCTGGTCCCTCCTCCCTCCCTCCCTCTCTCCCTCCCCCTCTCTCTTCTACCCTCGTTGATTGTTTAAAAGGAGAACCTTTTCCTTGAGGCCCAAGCTTGGGTTCTCATGTAAAGAGGGACACTGAATGCAGGGAAATTCAGTTCTGAAATGTTTATTGTACTAACATGGCTGGTGAGACGAGTGTGTGTGTCACGGTAAGCTGAGCCATCACTGTCCCTGTGCCCTAAGCATGGCCGTCTTCCCATTCCTGTGTCTAAGGAGCCACGTGACCACGCACCTGCTTCATTATCTCTTTATTGTCTCTCGGTTTCCACGGGCCGTTGTTATCACGGTAATTTATTGAAGGCAATTAGAGCTGGTCTTTTGCATGACAGGGAAGTGTAGCTAACAACTATCTATTAATAATTAGTCAGAGTCTGAGCAGGCGTTCCTATTGAGCCTATTTATGTTATTTTATTTAATGTTCACACCCTTCTTAGACGAGTTGTATAACTGCCCTCTTAAGAGGCAAGAACACTGGAACTCCGGACTTTCAGAACTCAGCCCAGCCTAGGGCCATACCACCCTGAACACGCCTGATCTTGCCTGGTAACTCAGCCCAAGGCGCACAGCTCTATGGTGGAGCCGGAATTCAAACCCAGCTCTCTCCAGCTCCGGAGTTCTGAGCTTCTCACGGTGCTGCATCACAAATAGGAATGCAAGTTACACTTATTTCGTGAACAAAAGTGACTGATAAGAGTAAATATTTAGACATGTTATTTTGTAGCAGTAACCTGTTGATCATAGTTCCTGAAATTTCACATCACTCCAGGAGTGTTTTAAAATCTCACAATGCTTTAGCTCCAGCAGCCAGACTGCTACATGCGCAGAACAGAATGCATCCTGTTCCGTGTCAAAAGTGCAGATTTGCTCCCTGATAAGATGTACTGTTTGTAAACTATTTTTATTGTGATTCAGGTGCAAATAACAGGAAACCATATTTTTTTCCTATCTTGGCACAAGGGTAGGTATTTCTAAAGAATACTTCATGCAATGGCGATTTAAAATAGTGCATTTTTCTGCACGGTGAATGGGGAGGAGACAGATCCTAGCATGAGGTTCAAAGTAACAATGGCCCACTGACTTGGACCCTGACGTCCAGCCAGGGGCTTTCCCAGGCTCCGAGCCAGGGCCGGTTGAGACACTGGTGAGCGTCCCTGCCAGAGAAAGCAGGCCATGCCTAGCCTTGGAGAGGCAGCCAGGAAAATTGCTGATGCGGGAATGGTGACTCTGCCTGTCTCCAAGGTTCTTATAGCTTTAAAAGAGGGTCTAACACCAGAGGAAAAAGAAAACAAACAAAACTAAACTTGCTTCTGTGGCTCATACACAACAAATAATACATATGTTTGAAATGGTTATGAGAAAATGTAAGGAAAATAGCACTAAAATATTTTCTTTCTTAAAAGAACTCAGTCCTGTGTTTTCTTTTTGGTTTTTTGTTGTTTTGTTTTGGTACTGGGAAGTCGGGTCCTTGCACTTGCAAGGCAGGTGGCAGAACCACTGAGCTAAATCCCCGGCCCAGTCCTATGTGTTCTTAAGTCAAAATATTTTGAGTTTTTCCAAAAGGAGTGTGAATATTGGCGATGATCAGATATGAAGATGAGGGCTGGGGATTTAGCTCAGCGGTTCTGCTGCCTGCCTTGCAAGTGCAAGGACCCAAGTTCGATCCCCGGTACCAAAAAAAAGAAAAGATATGAAGATGAAAGAGAAGCATGCGTGCACACACACACACACACACACACACACACACACACACTTCCCCTAACTTGGCCTAACTCCTGCTGCTGCTTCCCTTTGCAGAGCTCACACTTGTTTTAACCGCCTGGACCTGCCCCCGTACCCGTCCTTCTCCATGCTGTACGAGAAGCTTCTGACAGCCGTGGAGGAAACCAGCACCTTCGGACTTGAGTGAGCGTAAGCACAGAGCCCAGCTCTTTGGGGCCTGTGATTCCGAGGCTGGCCACCAGGAGAGGGACGGATGGACACACGGATGTCGGAGCCTCAGAGCAGGTTCTCTCCAGAGCAAGGCTGAGCCCGTCGCTCCCGGATCACACACCCTCACACTCCGGATTGGCTGTGCACCTTCTTGCAAGGATTTGGGTGAGCTTGATGCCCAGGGAACAACACAACAGTCTTTCAATCAACAGTTCTTGACTGCCAAATGTTTTCCACTCCTTACACTCCAAGACCAAGACGAACCTGTCCGTGACCAGCTCCCTGGTAATTTCTGCGGATTCAGGAGAATCTTGAAACTTACCCTTGAATGTGGTTCAAGCCAGACTGGCAGCACTTGGCCCAATCTCCAAATTAGTGCAAGTTTATTAATATAATAAAAAGTGTATTTCCTGAAAGTACATTGATTTAAGCCCTGAGTTACAGTGGAATATTCATTTTTGCTTGTAAGTGTCTGCATGGTGCACACTGCAGGTTTTAGCTCTTCACGGGACACAAGCAAACTGGAACACACGGCAATATAAGGTAACTGAAGATTTGCAATAAGGTGGTTTGTGACAATGTGTACGCAAGTGGTATGTGTGTGATGACTGCTGAGGACAACTGATGGTCCATGAATTACTGAGGACAGATTCTATGCTTTATAATGCATGAAAACAATTTTAAAATAACTAGCAATTAATCACAACCTATCAGGAAAATGTACACAGTGAGTTCTGTTTATTTTTGATAGGTTCATTAATGTTCTTTATGATGTATATAAGAACCTCCCATCACCCTGTGTGTATTCCCTTTCCATTGACATGTTCCATGCTTTCTTGGGCATCATGCTAGTCTGCATCCTTTTAAGCACTCTCAAGGAAAAAAAAGGGCCTTTTATTTTTATAAAGGTTAAAAAAAATTCCCGAAATATTTTGCACCGAATGTACCAAAGCCGAAGGGACATTACAATGTGACTAACAGCAGCTGTTCCATCACCTAACAGTGTAATAGAAACTAGCTTCCAATCAGACCTCCCTCACAGTGCCATGTCAGCTACTCCAAGGACTGTGCATCTCAGTAATAACTTTTTAACACTCACTTTATGTGATAGTGTGATACGCATTTATTTAAAATGCATTAGACTCTTTTTTCCATCCATCAGATACTTTCCAGGATGGCGTTTAATACAGATATTTCGTATTTCCCCTCTGCTTTTTATTTGTACAGCACCCTTAAACATTAAGCCCAGTTAGGGAGCCGTCAGGAACACGAGAGATCAGCTCTCTCTAGTAATAAGAACTCCATTTTCCCTCATCATTGAAGACACCACAGATCGAAACCCCAGCTCTATATTTCTAAGCCTGCGTTTTCACTGATGTGTAATTTTCTTATTATATCGAAAAACAATTTTTCTATGGTATCACAAAAACTGCATGACATCACTGATCTTCTGCTTCATTTTATGAGAGGGTATCCTTCATTTTAATTGTTTTGGGGGGTTTTTCCACCCATGGTTTATCCCTTGGTTTACGGCCATAACTAGTCAAGACACACAACAGAGCAGAGTTAGACACAGGCTGTGGAAGCAGTGGGTTGACTTGTTGGCCAGCCCTTGGTCATAGGTGCGGTGGGGACGTTTGTCTGAGAGCCACAGGTATAAGGAGCTGCAGAATTCCGGTGGTAGGTGCTGGCCATCCGCACCTCAGGGAGGTCCTCTCCATCGCTTGATCAGAGTTTTGTAAGAACTGACTGATCTCTGGTTAGTGGTGCTGGGCTTACTATTGGCCCTTCAAAGGAAAGATGCCCGTGACACTGTTCCTCTACTAATGGCAGATAATACGGTGGGGGAAATGCTCTAAAAAGTAAAGTTACAGAAATCTGGAAATGAAGATCTATCTGTATGCAGTAATCGGGCCAGGAAAAAAATGGACAGAGGGTAACTTTTAACTGAAAATATTAGTTTGTACTTACAGATCATGAATACAACTATATAATTTTGCAAATCATTTTTACTTGTTTGTATTTTTTCATTATAAGGAAAAAGAGTATAACACTAACATGCTTTTTTTAAAGAGAAAAATCACATTTTTGATGTCTCAGAAGTGGCATTCTCTAAACAGCTGATATGAAAGTTTACTTTTCTTTTAAAACGAATAAATTCATAGACCATGTTAGCTTTTATTTGGTTTGAGAAATTTTGTTACTCTGTGTCATACTTCTAGGTAAGAGACTTGAAATAAAATGTATCTCTTGAATTATTTCTAACAAATATATTTCTTTATTAAGGCATCCAACTTCTCAAATAACAGCTCTCTTTAATGTATGCAGATGTTCTTAATTAGTAGAATCATCTAATTGACACTGTTCTCAAAATTGGGAATTAGCAAGATGTACTTAGCCTATTAGAAAACCCTGATAATCTATAACTCTTCAATAGTAAAACAAAAAAGCAACCAAAAATAACTCTGAAATATTAAATACACTTCCACAGGATAAATTAGACTTTCATATACTCCACAACTAGAAATATCCGTAAGTAGGTTCTGGACCATGAACCCAGACAAATCACTTGGCTTTTGGTCCTGTATTCCTTAAGAAATCCATAAGTGATGCTCCTCAGGCTCTACAAGACAGTCAGGCTGTGTCACAGATGTCGGGGGTGCCTCAGGGGAGAGCAGGAACCCCATTGGCATCTCCTGAGTCTGTTAGCTGGCTTGCTGGGGGTTACAGGGTGCTAAACCTGCCCGCAAGGAGCTGGCAGTGGGTAGAAAAGACACCAATGCTCCAGAAAAAGCCCTTCAATAAAAGTTTTCAGTTCTGCAGTCAAGGGATGAAGCGTGAACAGCCTACCCATCTGGTGCTCCAATCAGGCAGGGCTTCATTTATGGGACAGAGTGTCTAACGGAGACTGCCTGAGTGCTGCTTCTGTGGGTCACTTAGGGCATGGGACAGTGTCCTGGCCCGGGTCAAAGCCCGGAATATTTATACAGAGTAGCGTGGGGGTGTGTGGAGAGCTGCAGTGAGAAGGAGCAATCCCGGGCTCTTCAGACTAGCAAACAAATGCCAACACGAAGTCCTGGCCATTCCCGCCGGTCCTTTTCACCTGTATGCAGTGCACCTTCAGTCTGCAGGGTGAATATCCCCATCTCTGAGTCCAAGCCACTGAGGGACTCAAAACGGTTTTCTTGTGCACAAAAAATGAATGGATCTGGGTAATAAATAAAATCCAGAAAATATGATTGAACTGGAAAGAATGTAAGTTTTGCAAAATCAGTTGCCAATGACGCTGTCGTCCATCTAGACTCAAGTCTCGAGGAAGGGAGGTGGCAAGGACGTGGAATACGTTCCTGTCGTGCTTTAGAAGCACACAAGGCTTCCAGGTCCATTGTCTCTTGATCCTGAGTTACTCTGCTGGGTGTAGTTTTGAATTCTACCTCATTGGGCCGATTTTTATGGATGGCTTGCAGGGTCCATTTCAGTAATTTATAGTCAAAGTTGAGCATTTCATCCCAAGAAACATGGAGATTAATGGTTGTATCAGTATATTCTGTTTCCAACCAGTTTTGGAAGATGCTCCATCTACTCAAATTCCCACTTACTTAAATAAACACATTTAAAATGTGACCCCTGAAAATTCCATGAAGAAATTAGTATATTCATGGGGGGGGGCTCGTAGACTTAATATTTGCTTTTCACTGTTTGCCATGAGAAGTTTAAAATGGGAGGCAAAATTTGATTGCTTTTGGTAGATTTACACAGTATAGCAGGTTGGTTTCCTCAAGTATCATTTGGAAGCAAGATCGTGGAAAAACACTAATCAGAAGCCATACTTTCATTTTTAATTTTTAATAAGGATAGAAGTCCCTGGCAGCTGAATTCCACTGGCATGGGGGAAGAAACCACCTTTTTTCCCCCTGCCTTCCTCACATTTGTCTAAATGATATTTTTTCCTTGTCTTTTTGTACAAATTTTCTTTATGACTTATTTGTAACAAGGCACATGAGTGACAGCACTCTAGATCTTAGTCATCTTCCAAGAGATGTCAGTTTACACTTGATGGGAATGTCACTTGGAACTTACTTTCTAATTTGACGAAACTTACTGTCTAACACAGAAGCAGGGGAGTGCTCATGACATGGAAGCTCTGAATTGTGGCTCCAGGCCAACTACCGCCCACTAAAAGGCTGGTGAAAATAAAAAATGAAAGGAGCCAGCCACTGTGGCACCTCCACAAATGCAATGCTAATTACTGACCAACCTTCGTGCTCAGGAGCAGGAGCTGCAGGCCAGGGGGCTGGCATCAAGGGTGTGTTGGATATGGTGCTGCCCTGTCAGGCCAGGGGCGACGGGGCATTCGAGACTGGAAAGTAGCCAGGGCAACATGAGGACGAGGGCGGAGGATCATCCCATAGCTTGATCTGGGGAGGAACGTGCGCCACTTGCCTTCGGACTTGGAAAAGAAAAATGCCCAGCTGGCAAGGGCGACACTGACTAGCAATCAGCTTGGTGGGAAATGCCCTCGCGTTATAACTTCACTAGGTTAACATTTTCTGTGCTGCAAAGCAGAACTTCAGGCCCAAGTTATCAAAGCTACCTTGAGCTTAGGACAGCGAGCGGTTTTGCATTTGCATCTGAGAGTTACTGTCACTACTACTGAACACCATGTGTGAAATAGAGAGCTTTTATTTCATTATGCTCAGTTGTTCTGCAGCAGACACCCTTGCCACTGGAACAGCTGTTGGGGCATTTCCATGCTGTGATGGCAGTTGCAGTATTCCCTGTTCGCCCAGAAAGCAGACTTGTAAGGGTGAGGTTACTGAGTTGTAAACAGAGAGCTAGTCATCGTTTCTAACCAAGAAGTGAATGAAGGCAGGAAATACACAGGTTTTTGTCTGCGAGGTACTTTATTTGGTGCTCATAATTGAACAGCTCAGCAGACAAGGATGGCTGTAATTATATGGCTTCTGGGGAACACGGGAGAATCCAATTTATAGACACAGTTTCCACATCTAGTGGCCTTAGCAAAGTGATATCTTTCTCTCCGACTTTCTTTGGAGCTATTAAAACGCTGAGGAGTGTTGATAGGC